CATTCAGCTTGTTTTTTTGTTATTATCTTCTTGTTTGGCTTACTTCGAGAGATTCTTGTCCTGGTAGTTGATCTGTTTTGTGTGTTGGTTGGAGGCTGTAGGCATTTAAAATAATTACTTGAAGAAAGCTATTAACGAAAATTACTGTGAAAAATCATAAGAATTAAACGATCTGTAGCTTCATATACCTGGTTTTTGGATACAGTAATGTTTTTTTCCTTTTTTTACCACCTTGAGGTGAACGGTGTTAGTTTTCAATTTACTATGCTTCCTTAAATTCATGAACGCCTGATTCATCTTTTAAAGAATTTTAGGGTCATTGTAGAAATTTAATTTTTCAAAAAATCTTTCATTACATACTTTTTTGATTTGTTCAAGCTAATGTCTATGCGGAATTAGCAATGAAACATAATCGGAAAGGCATTTGACGTTTTAAAGTATAGTACACTAAGTATAAAGGGTGCTATGTTTGACAGTGTTTCAGGTAATAAATCTTACTTTTTGGAACATGAGACTGAAGCAGGACAATCTATTTCAAAACCTTTATTACAGCGGAGTCTGTTTAACAAAAAAAGAAAATGTAGGTTGTTGGGACTTTAATATTCTTTCAGTTTCTTGTTAGATTTCATCTTATTCTTTGCAGCAATTTTGTTAGTATATATAAATAAATATATACATATATATAATATATTTATTTGTTTATTTGCTTGGCTATTCATATTTATTCATTTATAAGCAATACCAGTTTGTGAATCCCTCAACCAAATATGTACAGGTAGAGTTTGATGTCGTTAAAACAACGTTGATGAAAAATATTTTGGACGATGTGGAAAAGATTGTTTTTAATCACGAGGCCCGTTGTCAAGTCTTTGTGTCTGGAATGTACCTTCTGCAGTCTACTGGCAAAGTATAGTACTCGTCATTTTACTTTTTGAATTTGCGTTACCTTATATTATTTGTTTATTTACTATAGAACACATCAAGCTTTTCTTGGCATATAAATCTTCGGTTATTAGCTGTTTGACGATTTTCAGCATGTTGATGGTATCCTTCCTTCGCTGATCAAAGTATTCAAATATCTGCTGAATTTTGAATGGATATATTTTGACCTTTATAGAAGCAGTAAGTCATCTTTTTTCATTTTTTGAAATGGTTTTCGCTTTCTAGCTTTATCGTGTCTGTTCTGGAAATAAGTTGATGTAGAGTGTCTTTCCTTCAAAATTTGAAGTTTTTTTAAACTTTAAAAAGGTGTTTGAGTCTTCTGACTCTTTTAATGTTACAGAAATTAGTGAAGAGGAGAACTTCGTTTACTGCCTAAACATACTTTTGAACAATATTGCTGTTTCCATTCCTTCTTCGCGAAGACCAATTTTGTCGGCGCAACGTGAACTGCTTGATGCGTGCACAGTAGCAATTTCAAAATTAAATCCTGATCTCCAAGTGCCTTTTGATCACAATAGAGGTTAGTTCTAACTGCTCTTTCTTGATTCTTTCAATAAAAAAACTGGTAGTTAACGAATGTAGATAAGATATTGTTAGCAAAAGTGTATTTTAATTGAACTTGTGGCAAAAACTGCAACCAGTTTTGTCTTTACATCCGTCTCTGAAATCATATCATTAAGATGCACATCTGTCACAATTGCCTGAATTTGAGCGTGCGATTTATGTTCTTATCGGTCTTCTTCGGTCTTGTGGACGATATGGTAACGATGCCTTTCAGACCTCTTCCTTTTCAACTCTGTTTCCTTTGTCTTTCCTAAAGGGAGGAAAAGAATCAGGATCTTGTGATATTGCAGTCCGGATGGACGCTTGTAGGCATGTATAATTTATAATTATTTTTTGGCCACTCTAGGCCTAAGAGATGTTAGGTGTGGCGATCTTCTTGTTGTTTCTTGCCTACTTTTGCATTTGGAAAAATACTATTTTTGATTTTCTCGGGCTATTTTATTACATCTATGCGTTCTTTGAGACAGAGTAGAAATTACAAGGCTGCTTCTAACTTCTAAGTGTAATTTTCTGCTTTATGATGTTAAAGCGTTGAAAGAAGTTTCTTTACAGGCTTGATGATCAGGACTTTGCAAGAAAAAACTCGGGTAGTCATCAGTCTAAAGCTGGAGCGGGTATGGCGTTACATTCATGCAGAGTACTTGGCTCGCTTGATATGGATGCGCTTTTTGAGAATGTTGGCTTTTTTTTAACTTGAAATATATTTGTAAGAGAACAACGTTTAAGAATAATTTCTGAAAATATCAGGCATTAAGTTGTGTTACATCATTTCTTTATTTGTAGGAAATTGGGTTTATGAAAAAGCTCGTAAATCATCTTAATACTTTCTTTTTTTTAACAAACAATAGTTCTTATTTTTCCTACCAGTGACATTGCAATGAATTTAACCGGTTAGACTGTTAATTGCTTTTCTTGAGCGGTTTTTTTATTTTTGGGAGGCCAGAATTTCATGAGACTTGTTGAAACCAACTGTTTTATATGATTTTTGCGGTAGGAGACTTCGGACAAAAATCTTAGATGCGGGGCTGAAATTTTATCATCCTGTGATCTAGTTTGAATTTATGAAACACAGTATGGAGAAAATTTTTATATTATAATATTTCCAAGTTTTTTAAAAACAGTAAGTGAAAGTTTTTGAGATCGCGAAGGAAAGAGGGTGTTGTTTTGAATAGAACGATGGGAGTTTGTGACAAATGGAATAAATTTCAAGAATATTTAATTATCCGGTAATATGAGGTTGTTTGGCTGACCTTTCATCTATAACTTTTGTTAGTAATTGTTGGAAGTCTTGACTGAATGTTTTAAAAGTATATTTCAAAAATATTCATAAAGTTTCAGGTGTTATGCATTCTAAGACCACCGGTTTCAAAAACAATCGATTCGTACATTGATACTTGCTTTTCAGAAGTTTGTATCTTCATTTTCGTGTTTAGTTTATTAAGGATTGGGAGGAAGAATAGTCTCTAGTCTATAGTTGGCTCTACGAGCTTATCACTTATCTTTTTATAGGAGGAGCGCAGGAATTTCGCCAAACATTACTCTATTGAGCGAATTACGTATGAGTCACTAGCAATGTTGAGAGAGATCTTTTCAAACCAGCTTCCGTTTTCTGGGAAAATGTTACCTCCAAACTCTTTTGGGAAGAAGATATTCAATTTTGCGATGGAAATGCTGTCGGATGAACTGGATAAATTAAGGGAGCAAAAATTCAGCGAAGATGATAAAAAGTATGGAGAGCACTGCGATTTGTGTCAGAAATTGAAACTGACTGTTATGGTTTGTTCTGCTTGCTTGGAAC